ATGAATATCATTTGATGCTTGGAATACAGGAAAGGGGAGGTTTACATTCACCGAGGAGAATTTTACAGCTGATGATCATGAGGAATCTTTTGAAGTTTCACTAGATGAAGACATCTTTGACCCAGTGGAACTTTGAGTTCTGGCTCCAGACTCTCCAGTACCAAAGACCCTCTTGTATTTCTCCGTGCTCTGTCAGGTCTCTCAGGGCTTTTTATTTTGCATCTCTTCGTCCTGGAATGTGCTTCCTGTCCCTGCCTTTCTGTCAAACTTCCACCTGTTCTTCAATCTCAAGGGTTACCTGCTCTGTGAATTATTTGCTCAGCATCCTCTGCAGACCTAAGCCCTCCTCTCTCTCCTCTGCAGCCTGTACAATCTCCATTATAGCAACCACCTCCCTTCAGTCTAACCCTATGGGCCTCTTAAAGGGAAAACAAAATGCATATTTTCACTCTTGTTTCCCTAAACAGCATGAACTGTGATGCCAATGATAAAAATATGAATTGAATGAGTCAATTAATTTCACGGAATATTACCAAGTTGGGATTTTAGCAAAATTTTAGTTTTAATTCCTATGTAATTTGTTGCAGGAACTTTCTCGTTTCCTTATTAATGCTCAACATTTTACTTTTTAAGTTTTAAAGCAATGACAAGCTTACAGAAAAGTTACAAGCACAGTACAAAGACTTTTTCCCTGCTGAGCCATTTGAGTGTAATCTGCTGCTCTGATATTCCATTATCTTGAAATACTTTAACATGTGTTTCCTACATTCTTTGACCACTTCCTTGCTTTCAGGAACAGCAAGAGATTCCAGGTTCATCTCGGTCTTTGCCTGCTCAGTCCTGGAATCAATCCTCTTTCTAAGGAGCCCTGATTCCTATTAGCGGAGAATAGTTTTTAGAAGCCAAGCTCGGGGGCTTAGGTATGTGTCTTGGTTTTAGGTGTTTGCAACCCCTCCCAGCGGGACAAAGCTAGGGATCATCTCCAACAATATCTGCTTTATCTGTTTATACACTGAAAACCATGAATTAACGCTGATCTCTCCAACACAGCATCCTGCGCTCATTCAAGGTTCCTCCTTCTTGATGTTTGCAACTCCCCTCTCTGACTATGAGAAAACTGGCTACTATTAGCTTTAATATATTTACCTGTTTAACGGATCCCTTTACATGTAACTAATCTTCTATTTCTGATGCCATCTCCTTCCCTCCTGACTCCCTCCTTCTTCTTCTCCTATAATTCTGCACCCAAATTTCAATATGGGGGGTGGGTTTCCCCACACATCCAAGCAATTCTCAGACACCAGCTGAGTGTCCTACAATTCAACTCAAGTCATTCCCACAGTTTCAGGGCTTAATTGTACAAGACTGTCACCCACCCCTCATGCTACACAAAGTCCAGGCTGCCACCTGAGCTTCTGATAGACTGGCTATAGATCAAAGGTTCCAATGACTCAAGAACTCAAAAGAAACATGTTACTTACTCGATCCCCAGTGTTTTACAAAAGGATGTAACTCAGGAATATCTAGATAGAAGAGATGCATAGGATAAGATTTGGAGAAAGTGGGCAGAGCTTCTTCCCTCTGAATGCACCTCTCCACGAGTCTCCGCCTGTTCACTAACCTGCAATCTCTCCCAGCTCAGTCCCTTTGGATTTTTATGAAGGCTTTGCCGACTTCCAGCCCCTCACCTCCCCTGAGAGGTCAAGAGGGTGGGGCTAGAAGTTCCAACTTCTAATCACAAGGTTGGTTCTCCTGGCAACCAGCCCCCATCATTAGGTGGGGTCCAAAGGTCACCTTTAATGCTCCCGTCACTTAGGAAATTCCAAGGGTTTAGGAGCACTGCGCCAGAAACTGAGGTGAAGACCACATGTATACTTCTTATTATAAACCACACTATCACACATCCCCTGTCAGGCTGCCCTCCTCACCGTACAGACTCTGGTAGCTCATGCTGCTGCTTGGCAGGGTTTCCCTCCTCATCCTTATCCTTACGCACGTTCTGTGCAGGGCCACCATCAAGCATGGATGCCTTCCTCACTCACCCATGCTCTGACTCCACACTTGGCTGCCCCTCTTTCTCTCCTGTGACCCAAGGATGCCCTCCAATCTTTGCTCTGACTCTGACACCCCACACCAGGCCACTGCTTTGTGGTGATGGCCCCCTGTTCCAGCTTTGGCTCTGACAACATACTGGGAAGGATGCTCCTCTCATACTTGGGTGCTGGGTGCCTGCACACACTCTTACCTGGTTAGGGGTGCATCCTCTGATTTTCAATGTTTCCTCTCCCAATCTGGACACCATTGTCACCCTGCTTGGACTCTGTCCCCACTAAATTTCCCTCCCACTTGGATAGCCTTCTCCCCAGTTCTGTCTCTAACACCCTTCTTTGGACCACTGAGACTGCCCTCCACGTGGATACACTTTATTATGCTATGCTCCCTTGACGGCTTTGGAACAGGAAGGGAGAGGAAGAGGCGGGAAGGGGAAGAATGGAACAGGGAAATACCATCTCCTAGATTTGCATATTAGTCCTTCCACAGGGAAATGAATGCAAATTGCATGAAAAAATTTAAAGGTGGCCAATTTGTTCCTTATTTGCAATAGTACCAAAAAATTTGGACTGAGAAAAATTTGAAGCTATCAGGAAAAAAAAAAAGATTTGAGGTTAAATGCCCTTTCCATTGGAGAAATGAACTTTTCATTTCTCTCCTAGGTGTTTCACATTTTATTCTGATAGATGACTTCTAAATTAGACATTTAGAAATGAAAAGGTTGGAATGGATATCTGTATTTCTACCCCAGTTTTCTTGTTTCATAGATGAAGTAATTGAGTTAGGGCAAATGACTTTCTCAGGTGACACAGTCAGAAAGATAAAGACATCTTTCCGTATCCTGGCCAGTGTTTGTTGCATTCTCCTTTCATTATTATTATTGAAAATTATTTGATCTTTAAGGCAAATTTCTGAGAAAAATTAGTTTTTACATTACACCTTATATTTTAAATTGAAAGTCCTTTCCTTCAGTAATGATATTGCTGGTAGAATGCTATATTTTGGGCCCTAAAACATTGTCTGAGTAGCACTTTGGTGATTATATTCCATCAGAGTGGAGATTTAGACCCGGCCTCACCAATTTGGTAGTTAATAGCTTATAATTGTCTGAATACTCTCTTTTAATTGAGTGCTTACATTATGTTAACTGTTTTTGTTAAAGTTTCCCAGCAGGTTGATTATCATTTATTTTACTATTTATTGTCTTGTGGGGTTGAGGGACTGGCAAAATATATATACACGAATGGCTGATAAATAAAATTTTATTTTAAAAATCCACAATATAAAATTTGTATTACTTGAAATCCATTAACCATTTGTGGAAAGTCAAATATCTTATCAACTTATCAACACTGCAGTTCAAGTTGGCAATTTACAGCTTGTTGGGTGTAGACGAACCATTAGAATGTTCATTGATTTCCAAGAATCATCTTGAGTTACTGGGGCCAAAAGGAAAAATAGGCAACAGACCATATTTAAGAACTCAGGAAAAATCTTGAAGTGATCCCATCAACTGTGTAATTTAAGAGCTTAAGTGTGACATGAACTTACTTCTGGCCTTTGGGTAAAATATTTCTCCTTTTTGCACCAATATTATTTTGTAAATTAATATCAACAAATACATAGATTTATTAATTGAAGTATAGTCAGTTCACAATGTTGTGTCAGTTTCTGGTGTACAGCATGTTTCAGTCATATATATACATACATATATTCGTTTTCATATGCTTTTTCATTATAGGTTACTACAAGATATTGAATATGGCTCCCTGTACTCTACAGTACGACCTTGTTGTTTATCTATTTTATATACAGTAGTGTGTATCTGCAAATCCAGATCTCCCAGTTTATACCTTCCTTACTCCTTCCCTCCCCCCAGTAACCATAAGTTTATTTTCTATGTCTGTAAGTCTGTTTGTTTTTTTTTTAAACAAATACACACACCATCAAGATCAGTTTGTTGATCTCTCTCCAAGACAGGAATCCTTCTACTACACACCCATGGGTTTGAATCACCTTCAATCATGGGGAAATCACTACCTCCCAAAGCAGCTGTGCCTTACTTTCTGCAAAAACCTTCCTCTTGGTAACTTTGCCTTGTTACTTCTACTTTCTGCCCTCTGTAGTTAGAATACAGTTAAACCCTCTTAACATGACACCCCTTCAGTTATCTGCCCCTAGAGCCTCATCCTTCTGGAATTTTCTCTCCCTGTCTCTTTCTTCCATCATCAGAGTTCCTTATGGGAAATGAAATTCTTTCCCAGCCCCTTGTCTGGACTTGGTGTCTCTTTTAAAATGTGCTGTTTTAGGGGACTGTGCTCTCTACCCATGTAACCCAAGAAGAAAACTTTGAATTCCTCTTGTCTTTAGCCATGTAACAGTGAATCGTGGTTTCACTTTGTTTCTGGACAGTTACAGCCACCAGACACAACCTTTGCCCCTAAACACCGCATTCACTTTGCACAAACTTGTTGACCACACACCTAAGTCAGCTTTTCTTGAACCCTCATCTGAACAAACAAACATTGATTCTGATCTGCGGATATCCTGTGTGGCGTCAGGAAGGGCCAGCTTGAGCCGTGCTGGCTCAGTTAGCTTGCCACCAACGCTACAGATTTAGTTTCCTTTTTCTCCTGACTAGTAAGACAAAAAAGCAATTCCTGCTATTCTCTTAGACAATGCAAAGGGCTCCAGACTCTATTTCAGGAAACTGGTTTCAACAAGGTAACAAAGAGACCACCAGACCAGAATGGAGGGTAGGGATATCGACAAGGAGGTGGCATTCAGGTAACCCCTGGGGATGAGGGTGGGGAGCCGGCTAGGCTGAGGGTGGGAGGGCGCAAAGAGAGCCAAGAGCCAAGGCCAGCGGCTGTGCGCCCCGGCGTGGACGCGCGCGGTAGTTCAGGCTGGGGAGTGTGTCACCACGTGCTGCAGGGAGGCGGGGACAGGGTCCTCCTCCTGTTATCTGTGAAGAGCGCCGGGCCGGATCTCGGAGTTTCACAGCGGACTTGCCAGAGATAGTGTTGAGAGAGAGAGAGAGAGACAGAGAAACAGAGAGAGAGATTGAGAGACTGATTCACGTGGACATAGACGCAGAAACAAACCGGCGAGGTGAGAGGTTAGTTAGCAGGCTAGCTAACCCACTAGCTTGCCAATTGAGAGAAGAGATCTGGGAAAGGAAGGGTCTCGTTTAGACGCTCAAACTTCAGGACCCCAAAGGGCCATTTCCTGCAGCTCCTCGGGGACTGCACGTCTCACCCCTTCTAAGTTTGCTCTGAGGGAATGCAGCAGAAAGAAAGGAAGAGGAGGTGGGGTTCTACAGCCAGTAAGGTTTTCGTTCTCCCTAAGAAGTGGCGTGGTTTGGGGCTTCATATCCGGAAGGAGCATGTGTCATCACTCTGTACGCTAATCCTGGGACGTTTGCAAACCCGGCTCCAGGGCAGTTGGCCCCTTGCCCGGCCGGGTGTTCGAGGGCTCCGGCCTCACAGTGCTCCCAGGGCCGGCCAGCGGGTGGCCCGGTGGCCTTTATCTCTGTCCCCCTTTGTCCTCTTTATCTCAGGCTCTCCAGGAGGCCCGGGGGCCCGCTCTGTCTATCGCTCCACACCCCCGGCTGCACCGCCACTTCAATGCCCGGCAGGTCGCGGGCTGCTGCTCTTTCCAAGGCGGCGGAGGACCAGGGGCG